AAGGAGGAGGCTGAGGGTGGGGAGGGGGCTTCTCCTGGAAGGACCCCCAGGGCTCCTCTTTTCCCTCAGAGCACCTTTCTTTTCTCCAGGACACGTCCTACATTCCCACCTCCTTCTGTCCAGGAAGAATGCCCAAATGTCCTCCCTTCTGAGCAGCACTAAGAAGCATGGAATTACATTTCGAGGAGTACTTTTAGCTCAGGGTGACCAGGCGTCCTCCTTTCCCAGGATGTGTCCTCCCTTTCTATCTGGAGGACATGACACACACACCCACACCCAAGTTCAAAACACTCCTAGAAATGTTAACGCATATGATAAAGGGAGGACATTTGGGCATTCCTTCTGGACACAAGGCGGTGGGAATGTAGGACGCGTCCGGGGAAAGGAGGATCTCTGGTCACCTTGAGCTAAGAACACTAATACGGACGTAAATTCATGCTTTTTAGTGCTGCTCAAAAAGGAGGACATTTTGCAATTCCAGCTGGATAGAAGGTGGTGGTAATGTAGGACGTGTCCTGGAGAAAAGGAGGACGCTTGGTCACCCTGAGCTAAAAACATTCATTGAAATGTACATCCACGCTTCTTACTCTTGTTCAAAATTGAGGACAGTTTGGGAATTCCTCCTGGACAGAAATGGAGGACACGTCCAGGAAAAGGAGAACGCCTGGTCGCTAAAACACTAATAAATCCATGCTTCTTAGTCCTGCTCCAAACGGAGGACCTTTTGGAATTTCTCCTGGACAGGAGGTGGTGGGAATGTAGGACGTATTCTGTAAAATGAGGACTCCAGGTCACCCTGAGCTAAAACCATTAAGCTTCTTGGCTCTGCTCAGAACGGAGGACATTTGGCGGACAGAAGATGGTGAGGATGTAGGACGTGCCTTGGAGAAAAGGAGGACGCCTGCTCACTCTCAGCTTCAAACACCCTTAGAAATGGAAGCCCATGCTTCTTGGTGCTACTCAAAAAGGAGGACCTTTAGGAATTCCTCCTGGACAGAAGGTGGTGGGGATGTAGGACGCGTCCTGGATAAAAGGAGGACGCTTGGTCTCCCTGTCTCCAAGAAGGGGAGGGGGACAGAGAAGCGTGTGTCCCCCTCACACCACACACACACACAAACACACACACACCCTGCTGCATTGCAGGGCTGCCGTGGAGGAGGAGGAGGAGAAGCCCACGCGTGAACGTGGAGTGGAGGGGAATCTCCTTCCTGCGGCTCCCCTGCCTCTGTATTTTTTTTGCAGCCATCCCTGTGTTTCGTCTCCCTTGTTTGCAACAGGCTAGGGCACCCACAAACACACAC